TGGCGACTTCCTGATTGGCCAGAAAGCCGGCTTGATGCTTCCTTGTCACCTGGTGATGAGGGAGCATGAAGCAACCTTCCTGGCCAATCAGGAAGCTGGGTGGCGTGTAAAGACTCGCTGGCCAGCTTCCTGATTGGTCGGTGCCGATACAGAGTATTTTGGCGAATACTCATACTGTTGAAAGCAATCACCTCAACTGACTGTCCTCGGGACTGGAACACTATGCACCAGGGAGAGCCGGACAGGTGATTTTGTAATCGGGTGGTTACTCGCTGGGACCTGGCGGCTGAGGCCCCAGCGGTGCCCCATAGTGTGCCTGCAGGGCTGCTCAGCAGTACATTTAAGTATGTTCGCCTACCGACTCCCTTCTCACTGCCAGGCAGCTGGTGGCCGGCGCCCCCCACCATCTCTGTGCTGTGAGTTGCCACGCTATCGTGGAACTGGACTGGTGTCTAGGTGTATCATTGGGCCTTCCTAGGGTCGGGCCCTTAAGCAGCTGTACCGGCTGCACCGGGGGTAGTTCTGCCCTTGGCTATGAAGACCTTCCTAACACTAAGGATCAAATTATATAACTAGAACATGGTGGTTCCATAACTTTGACACCTCCCATGCTGTTCTTGAACAATCAACATCTGCCTTTTCACATTTCATGGATTGGATTAGGGTAGGGTGACCATTTGTCCCTGATCCTCCGGCAGCCGTTGTGGAGCTCTTTCATCTGGCAAAACATTGCCTGCATTCGGTTCCACTGCGAACGCAAAAAATAGAGCATGCAGCATTTTTTTTGTTTGCATTTTTAGTATTGTTTTACATATTATTATCACTATTGGGATCGTTTTAGTGCATATAGAAGGCACGTCTTTTATATTTACCTTTTCACTGAAATTTGCACACATATAATATTTTTTGTGTGAATATTTAGTGCGGTGCATAAAAGTTTACATATCGTTGAAGAGTAAATACGCTCGGAGCATAGCAGCTTGGTATTTCCACTTAGTTATAGGAACGCTGAGCACGGAATATTGTTTTAATAATAACATGTAGAATGTAATTGTCTACATGAGATTTTAACACTGCGCTAAAATCTCTGGCCGTCTAAAGGCTGTGCCACACTGCACTCAAAGCAGCGTGGAACGGTGGTGGCGCTGTAGCTACCATGGTGCAAGTGAGGCACTCGCCTCAAGCGCAGCTGAGAGGGGGCGCAGCCAGGGCCAGTCTGGCTGCGCCCCCTTGTCCCTGTTATCATTGCTAGCACAGGGCGCCATTGGCAACAGGGGCGCCAAGCGGCCAACACAGCCGCAGCTTGGCAGGGAGAACAGGTGCAAGCCCAGGCTGCAGCTTATCCTTGGATCCCTGCTGCTCTCTACCACCTGTATGGGCAGAGACTCTTTGTCCTCAATCTTTTTTTTCTATTTCAACAGGGAAATGTCAGGGGTTTAGACCCCTAATATTTCCCCAAAGCCCTCCAACAGTGAAAAAAATTAATAAAAAAATAATTTTAAAAAAACCAAACCCCCCCCCCCCCATACACATTATTAGACATGTGCAAAGACTAAAAATTTGTTTCGGATGAAATGAACGGAAACTAAAAATGTTTTCATTCGTTTCGTCAAAGAAACACATTTTTATGCTATTTTGGATTTGACTAGCAGTGCATTCTGCGCATGCACGCCGCCATGCTGGAAGCAGGGCTTATGACGTCATCGAGCACCCGTTACTTTTGGGATATCCGGTAATGAGTGAGGCAAAGTATATGGATATTGCTTTATATAGTATATATCTGGGGACCTGGGGCACACTGGCAAGTTGTGATTAACTCCAAATATATTTATAGTGTATACTTTACAAACAAATTGCTGCGAGGCGCTACAGTGTTCGGGTTTGGCTTGAAGAAAAGGTGGCAACCCTAGTCACATACCGCACACGTCTGTTGGGGGGCACAATTTCCTATTCTTGCCTCGGGCGCAAAAGGAGTATACAGTCACTCCATATACCACACATACCAAATACACTGCATATATAATTTGAGGAAAATATGCTAATAAAATAGTTTTTTTTTTTAACCATTTGCCAATAAAAAAAATAAATTAACCTAAGATTTAATTTTAAAAATCTGGTCACCTTAGATGAAGGTGTCTGTGCGACCTGTGTAGACATAAATCCTGGGGTAATATCCTGGCACATTGAATGTGACTGCTACTAGTTAAATACAACCTATCACAGGAAGTACACACAATCAGGTAATAGCAAACAGCTGTCTGCATGGTTTCCATTGTATTCATGGTACTGGGGCAAGATTACCCTTTTGTCTCAGGTTAAGGCAATCACAGCAGGTAGTCATCTACCAGACAAGGTTACTCCATTAGGTAAATCTTTACCTCACAGCAATTTTTCTTTCTTCCATTTTAAAATCTTCTTTTCAGCCTTACATCGCAGTTCTTCCCTGTGCAGTGCAGCCCTGGCCAGAGCCACGTAGCCTTTCACTGCATTAGTGTCATCCGAGCCGTGCCATCTCTGCATGGGCATGCTGATGTTCATTCTTTTGGATGAGGCTGTACTGCTCTGGAAGGCTGTGTCCACCATGAGTATGACCCCTGCCATAGGAATGACTGGGGCATGTGGTGCACACGTTCAATGGATGTACTGCCTTACAACAAAAGGCCATGCAATGTTTGGCAAGGCCACAGATCTCAGAGTGGGGCTGACTGGAAATATTTAATCCTGCTGGGTACATTGGGAGAGGTAGGGAGTAGGGTTGCCACCTTTTTTTACAGCGAAACCCAAACACTCTAGCGACGCAGGGAAATTTTTTTGGGAGAATGAGTCGCGGCTTATTCATATGTACATAGAGTCACCCATTCATATGTAAATATAGGAGTCGAGACTATTTTTAGTGGGGGGCCAGTAGCCCCTGTCTTAATTTTGGTTGCCCCTGTCTGCCTGACATCATGTGTCCGGGTTTCAGCTGCCATGAAACCCGGACACAGCATTCAAAACCCGGACTGTCTGGGTGTATCCTGGACAGGTGGCAACCCTAGCAGGGAGGGCTGGGGGGGGGGTTGAAAAGGTGCATTAGTGCAGTGGGGTGCCATTCAAAGTAAATGTTCCTGCAGCATGGCACTTGTGATGCCGTGCATTGCGCTAACGTCATATGTGAATGGGCTCTAGAAGTGAAGTTGTCTTTGAAGTAGTTAGAGAATGACAATATAAAAATCACCACAGTGAGTCACTGTTTATTCCTTTACTCTAGCTGGAGGCCAAAGTTTAACGCAGAGAAGGCTGGCGGGGGGTTATTTGGATATTGTTGCACTAGAGTGATAAGCAAGGAGTGGAATCTCATTACCTCAATAGATCTTCCTTGAAGAGCAATTGTTATGTTTGTGAACACTTTCAATGTCATAGAGAACCTTGGTCCCGGAGATAGACAACCCATCTACCTCAACAACGATACATATGGACTAAGGAAACCAGCACAGAATGATCTCCAACACTATAAACAAGTGGATGACGTGTTATTCACTACACTCATTTTGGTAGGGTAGCCATCTTGGAATGTGCTGTGACCTGGCATAGTCTACCTTATGGCCTACAGCACCTGAAAGGGGAATGTTCTGCGACAATCCTGGTTGGATGGACTCTATATAATCATGATTATTATTATACAGGATTTATATATTGCCAACAGTTTGTGCAGCGCTTGTGTAAGGGCTCCTTCACTCCAACCTCAGGCCCGAACGCACTGGATCGCATTCTGGCCGGCTCACTTAGGTTTGGGCCGAGAGGTTGCATTCAACTCAAAGGCACCGCAGTCACGCCCTCCAGTCGCAATGTGATAGCCTGCACCGGAACGCGTGGCACATCAATGCCTGTGTTCCAGTGCAGTCAGAAAAAATAGTGCTTGCAGCATTTTCTCTGACTGCACTGGACCGGAACGCAGGCTCTGATGTGCCACGCGTTCCGGTGCGGGGGCGATCGCATTGCGACTGGAGGGCGTGACTGCGGTGCCTTTGAGTTCAATGCATTGACCACGCTCCCTCGCGTCCGAAAACAAAGTGAGGCGGCCACTTCTGATTATCATCCCCTAGGGTCAGTCACGTTATATACGTGACTGCAGGGCTGTCCCTTTAATGAGGCTGTTGCCCTTAGGCAGCATCTCTTTGGACCCTCCACCCTCAAACCGTACCCCAAAGACCCCCCAAAGACCCAAATTGCGGGGGTTCCTCGCCCAGCAGCATTCTGTATGCTTTTGAATTTGGTGTGGAGCTGCATCACCTATTCACGGGGATCTGGAAGGCTACAAGTCTCAGGGAATTGCAACTTTCAATGGCGCATGAGTATGGTGATATCATTATTTACTTCCCCCATCCATATAACTGTACCTCAGTATGCACCAGGGGCTGAGGGCTCTGCAGGAGCCTGTGCATTGCGGTCACGATCTACCGCTCAAAGTTGCAATGCTCTGCAGCTTCCCATGCCAAAAATGAATCAATGAAAATGATTTATTTTTGTTATCGATGCCTTTGCATTTAGTACACTTTTTCCCCCAGAAAATGGAATAGGGAGGTCACAAAATGCATGTATGAAAGGGTGACAACGCTGCACCTTCTTGGGTAGCGTTGTCACCCCTGGACGGGAAGTCAGGGAACTTGCAGGATCACGCAAATTAAAGAGAAAACAAAACAATGACACTACTTGTTTATATGAGGTTTTTATTTTTCCCTTTACATTGAAGCGGACATAAAACAGAAGGAACAGTTGCTCAGACAGCTCTCTCGGCATAGTAAGTGTGCTCAGGCCGCTGCACAGCACACACGCCATGTCGGTTGCTGCACATAGTTCTCATTCTTGTCCGCCGTTTATACGGTTTATGAGGAACACAAGCCGACGCGGCAGCAATGAGCGGCACTGCATGATTCGGCCAGCAGCGGGGGATGTGGATCGCTGTCCCTCCCTTGGCCGTGCCGCGCATGCGTGCTCCCAGTCCCGGGAGGGGGAGGAGGGATCCGTCTGGTTCCGTAGCTTGGGAGAAGCTGAGTAGGGAGACCGGAGCGGGCCGGGGAGCCGGCGAACACTGGGCCGCATTGGAGGAGATAGAGAGGCCTGGCCTCTGCGTCCGCTAGAAGCATGGTGATGGCGTACTTCGTGGAGAATTTCTGGGTAAGCTCTGATTTGTGTTCTCTTCCTGCCCGGCCTCTCTTCCCTGCGGGGGGAGCAGGGAGTGCTACAAGGCGGCTGACAGGGAGCTGCACCTGGAACGTGGGGCCCTCTACCTGCTGAGCAGACACACAGAATGTGCTGGAGCCTGTAGTCCCTCGGTCCCCTCAGCTGTTTAAAGGCTACAATAACATAGGCTGGCAAGGCATGCTGGGATATGTAGTTCCTCATTATTTGGAGCCCCCAAACATATCAATGTGCTTGGTGATGTGCAGGATCACCTCCAGGCAATGTCTCCTGTACCCCAATATGTACTCCACCTACTGGACAGATCATAGGGTCATATGACTGCTCGCAGGGTATGATGGGGCTTCTTATCCCCTGGAGTGCCCCCCCCTGCCCCCGTCCCCGGGAATGCCCCCGTCCTCTGGAGTGCACCCTCTCCCCTGGAGGGCCCCCCCCATGCCCACGTCCCCTGGAGGGCCCCCCCATGCCCACGTCCCCTAGAGGAGCCAATTCCCTTATGTCACTGTAAATGGGTGATATGGCTGTTGGCAGGGTGTGATGGGGCTTTTTATCAGCTGCAGGGTCCCATACCCATCACCTTGAAGGGCCCCTTACTCTCCTCAGTGCACACAGATTATATCGCTGCTGGCATGGTAAGATGGGGCTTTCTTATTACTGGGGAGCCCCCAAGTACCCCCATCTCAATGTATACGGGTTATTTGGCTGCTGGCAGGGCGTGATGGGGCTTCCTTATTAGCTGGAGAGGCCGTGTACTCTCATCATCTAGAAAAGTCCATACTCTCCTCTCAGTGTACATGGCTATTGTGGCTGCTATCAGGGTGTTATGGGGCTTCCTCATTACATGGAGGGCCCCTTACTCTCCTCTCAGTGTACATGGCTATTGTGGCTGCTATCGGGGTGTTATGGGGCTTCCTCATTACATGGAGGGCCCCTTACTCTCCTCTCTGTGTACATGTGTTATATGGTTGTTGGCAGGTTGTGATAGGGGTTCTCATCATCTGGAGGGCCCCATACACTCATGTCGATGTACATGGGTTATATGGCTGCTGGCAGGGTAGGCTGGGTCTTCTAGCTCACCAGGAGGCTCTCTACTCTCATTGTAGTGTACAGAGGTGATATGGCTGCTGTCAGGGCTTTGTCATCACCTGGAGGTCCTTGTGTCAATGTGTATGGTTGATATGACTTTCCTGATTGAAGCCAGTTGGTCAGCAGTGGCAACCCCTGTATAGCTCTCCTGACAGGTTTTTGTTTATCATCTTACTACCGCGTCATTGTAACACAAAGCAAGTTTGGTGGAGTCCGTTTTCTGGAGCCCCATTTATAAACAGCACTGCAGAAAACGCATGGGCGGCCAGTGCACTGTTTGAATGCCTGTGCTTGAGCTGTCATCAGTGCAGATCACAGGCAAAATGCTCTCTGATTGGCTCTGTGCCTTATGATTGCTGCGAACCAATCACTAGTGTAAACAACAAAATGTTATTTTTGGTCTTTTTTCCTATTATATAAAAACAGTGGTTATTAAAGACCATTATCGTTGTGGTAGAGCTGTGTAAGTCTCACAACTGGATGGACAGACATACAAATGCTTTGGCAGGATAAACAGCCCCCATATATGTATTCTATATACAGTAGCAGGCTGAGGGCCGATCACGTGGGCGCTGTGCACACAGGAGACATGGGCAGATCCGGAGAGCGGTGTCTGCCCAGCTGGCACGGGGACTGGTATGTTAAAGAATGCTAGGGATCTTTGTGAGGGGAATTGGGTGCCTGCAGGGTGGGAGTCGTGTCACCATATAGTCAGATCTGTTTGGCCGACCCTGATGTCGATTGGCTGGGAAGCCAGCTTCCCGGCCAATCAGCATCCAACCAGCCAAACAGAATGGAGTCTGCTTCCTGGATCAAGACGGCTCTATGCTACCGGAAGTACCGGTATCGGTACTCAGTATCGACGAGTACCGAAATATAAGTATCGGTACTCGTACATGATACCGAAAAACCGGTATTGGTGCATCCCTACTTATTTGTGTATACCTCAGCTGTAGATCCTCAAATCATCTCTGAACTCTTGCTGACACTGTCCTTCCTTCTGGAGGGTGGCTACTTTTGTTCCCCATGGTCCCTGTGTGTGTTGTAAAGTATCCACCAATCCAAGCTCCCTCCAGTGATGGACTACAATCGCAATACAAATGAGTAAATTAAACATGAGATTATAGTCTATCACAGGAGTGAGCTTGGAGCGTTTGCTACTTTACAGTACACACAGTGACCATGGGGGACAAAAGTAATCGCCCTTCAGCACCAATTCAGAGATGATTTGAGGATCTACAGCCGAGTGATACACAAATAAGATACATTTCTGTTAATGGTTAAGGTCCTTGAATATATTAAGATTTCACTCCTGAGTTTAGTGTCACTTTCACTTCTGAGGTTTCCTCTGGTTGTGGTCAATGAAGTTGGCTCCTGAATTCTATAATAATGTGTCGTCCCCCCTGTAATAATGTGACACAGACCCCTGTTTTCTATGGATACAAAGGCTTGCAGACCCATTACATCTAGTTGTTCTCCAGTTGCTACAATGGCTTTGTGCAGGAGATCCACGTCTTCATGGTCTGTCTGTCTATCCCTATAATACTTGGCAATACGCATAACCTGTTTCATGCCGGTGCTATTTTTATCCTGATACCATTTACCGGTAGTATCTGTGCACATTTATGAATTGTTTTCCCTGCTGGGTTGATGAGTAATTCTGTATGTTATGGGTGTGTTGTGCTCACAATTCTTCTGGATTAACCTCCTTCACTCCATACATATTTGCTCCCTTGATGTGCTTTACCGTGGAACATATACACTCAACTTAGTTGTCTGTTTTTTTGTTTGTTTGTTTTTTAAAGAATATCGTCAGAGATTCAGGTGTTGGAGAATATTGTTATATACCTGTTGCCTGTGATTGTCACTTGCCCTTCATAGAGACCTAGTATAAAAACTGTCCTTGCTCAGCAGTGTGAATCTCCCTTGTATAGAATTAAAGTACAGAGACCGACAAGAATTCATCTTTCACTAAACTTACTTTAGTAAACCTTGGTAGACATAGACTATAGGATCGGTGTTGGTTGATGTTGTTGTGTACTTGGATAGTATGAACTTTCAATAAATCCTGATTTTTCTATGAACTGTCGGATGTGCGGCTCTACGTTATTTTATAGAGCACTTCATGGTTAGGTAAGGTCCAGAGTTGTCCAAAGGGGGCAAAAAGGACAAGTCCGCTTTGAACCAAAGTGTTCTTATCCTTTAAATGCAGTAGAGAAAATTCAGGTCACCAACCTGGCTCGCTGTCTGTCATGGCTGGCTATGAAAACCTCCTGGCCTGAATGGATAGAAATACAAATCATTTTGGCAGGTAAGAGATCCCCCAAATATGTATAACTGTGTATTTCGTCTATAGTTCAATTAGCAGGATATGTATCAGGGCTGGCGCAGACCTGGGCGATCTGGGACACGCATCCCGGGGACCGCGGAATCGTGTACAATTGCACCCAGCAGTTTATTGGGGTTACAGCCGCGCGACAATAGCAAAATACAGGTACATGTACCTTTTGTTTGCAATGCAACGCGTGGCTGTTTTAGCTACGTTCGTATTTGATTTCAGGGGCGGAATCCCATGCGATCCACCCAGCGCGACTGGGGTGCCCTTAGAAAATAATGGCACCACCAGCGAGATCAGCGGTGGTGGGCGACTCTGTGACTGCACAGCAATCCGTACGATTTTGTGCATGATTGCCGTGCGTTCGCGGATCGTGCAGGTCTGAACATCAAGCAATGGGGGTCTTGGTGAGCTAAATAGCTTTCTATAACATAATGAACATGCCTGCACCATGCTCTTACTTCCAGTGCCTCCTCTTCAGTGTATGGCTGCTGTGGGGGCAGGAATAATTGTGTGTGTGTGTGTGTGTGTGTATATAGATATATATTATCTATCTATCTATCTATCTATCTATCTATCTATCTCTATATCTCTTCTGGTTGTGCATAGGGAAGGGCTGTATATATGGCTGCCATGAGGGGTGAGAACCCCATATAATAGCTGTATTGTTCTCGGTTCTATTTTATTCTTCATCCCTGATTTAAAACAGTCACCCAAAGTGATTGTGCCGAATGCCCTATGCTGAGTAATGCTTTAACCCTTTTGGCTGCCAAGCCCAGCCTCCCATTTATTTTTCCTTCAAATGACCACACCATTTTTTATTTATTTTTTTACTATTTTTCACTTACACCTTTTTAAAGGTTAGCAACAAAATACGTTAACAAAACAATGTATTTTCTAAAAGCACAGGACCTGTAGCATTAAAATATAGAATTACTGGGTTTGTACGTCCAATGATAGTTGCACAAATGTATACTGATTTTGGTCTTTCAAAAAGAATATACTAAAATCATTACTAGCACACTAAAAACTAAATTCTATCTTTCTTCTAAAAGGGAAAACTGTAATAATGTTAATAGATATTTGTACATTTTAAATTGAGCCTTTGTGTGAAATGGTGAAAATCCAAGGAACACAAAACTGTAAAGAGGCGACTAGCTGGCCATACACCAATAGATGATCTGCAGACTTTCTTTGGTCAGATGGAGAAAGTGCAACAGATTCCTTCATCTACGCTACACTGTGTGGATGAAGGAATCTCCCACTGGGCCACACTTCAGTATCTTGCTATTCGGCCCCGCTGGCTCTCAATAACTGAACAATCTGATTGGATGCAGGCATTGTTCAGGTGTTTTGAGAGCCAGTGGGGCCGACTAGCAATATATTAAAGCTCTGCCCAGTGTGAGATTCCTCCATCCACACAGTGTAGAGTAGATGGAGGAATCTGTTGCACTTTTTCCATCTGACCATAGAAAATCTGCAGATAATATACAGGTGTATGGACAGCTTTAGGCTAAAAACCTTCAGGCTGGCTTCACATGTACGTGTAAGGGTG